GTACTGGTAAGATATCTAGATTAATAAAGAGAGGCTTACAAGGATCACGTGGAAGGAATTTGCTTATTATTTGTATAATTCTTTTTTGTACTCTAAAAGTTTCGGAGCTATGAGATATAATTCCCAGAATAGTATGCCATATCTCAGGCGGGAATGAACATTCGCGAAATATACATATTATGGAATAGAATGTTCATGTAGTCCTTAATCGTGAACAAAAATGCCCTTTGCGCCCACTCTGGCTTTTCATGGGTCACAACCGTGTCACAATTACATAAAATAAATATATAAAAAGCAAAGCACGGAACCACGAAACGTTCTCGAACACAGCTCTCCGTCTTATAACACAGGAGCCGGGACACATGCCCCGTCACCCGTACGCAGCTTACATTCTAGACTCGGTTTTAAAATAAGCATAATACTTATCCCACAAAAACTAAACTCAATGTAATGTTTATAAAAAATAATTTTTACAGACGAGCACATAGCACTGCACTTCCTAATTTCAATCACTTCTCTTGACGCACTACATTTTCGTCGGACGAAGACATCACAAAAGAAAGCGCCGAAGTCTTCTACAAGTTAGCCAACTGCAAACGAACGAATGGAGAAAGGAGAGTCAAATAGGCTCAAGAACATAACGACCGAAGAACATTCAGATGTGTTGCCAGCACTAGCTGTCAAAACGTCCTATTCTTATAATAATCGCTCTTTTTAAAATGAAAACAGTACGAGAAGGCAAATAAAGCTTGAAAAGTACATAAAAGTTGGAAACGTTTCCTGGAAACTTTCCATTTATGAGTACATGGTGATACATCTTGTAGGATCCGCAGTCCAGCAGTAATCCTTCAAAAGTTTAAGAGACCACTTCTCTCATATCGTCTTTCAATGGCAGCGATATCTTGGTAAAATCGCTCACCTTGTTCGTCATTCACATCTCCAAGGACAGGTGGGAAAAAATCCAAATGGGAATGAAGAAAATGTAATTGCAGATACATGTTGTATCTCATTTACTTGTTCCCTTTAATTCTCACTCATTACATTTCCCAAGAGTTTGTCGCATAGTGCATCTTTCAATTCAAGTCAAGCTGCCTTCTCAGTATGTTAGCAATTAATCAAAGGCAAACAATCTTTTATCAAGTCCCGGATCTGAGGCCTAATGAAAGTTCCTTCTTTAATTTTTGCAGTAATAATCTTAGGAAATTTAGGTAATAATTGAAAACCTTGGCCATCTTTGTCCATTGGTTTTACAAAATTCTTCATGAAACCTCATTTCAAAAAGTGTGATGGCAACAGCACACTTTCTTTGTCAACAAGGGATTTATGTGACATCATTTTCATCAGGAATAAATATTTCTCTCAAATGCTACTCTTCGATTATATAATGTTCTTTCCTTACCCTACTATCCCAGTTGTACAAGAAAGCAACAGTTCTGTGGTGGCCATCACTTACCCTTATATGTCTTTGGTCGAAAATACAACTCGTACGCCATTTTGGTGATCGGAGAAGTGGGATTTCTTTGCGACTTAATCGAAAACTCGCTACACACATAACAGAAAAGACTTGGTAAATTAACAGACTTCCTAGATATCGTAGAATATAAGAAACAGAACATACACAAACCATATTTTTCACGTTAGCAGATTTACACACTTCAATAATAGATACTATGTAATTTCACAATCGATTGACTGATGCAAGTGCAACTTCACTTTACCTACTCTAAGTGCTTATCTCCCCCTCCCCTCTCTACTCCCAACACTAGTCAGTAATATTCCTAAAATACAGAATGTGATATGCGCTGCAACAGAATAATTAACGCAACCGAGCGCAGATAAAATTGGGTTTCCAGAAGAAAGTTTAGGTGAAAGGGAAAAATAGTTTTCACTATTGTCATCAGGACACTGAACTACAAAACAATTACATATTTTTGTTCTGTGAAAAATTTCATTATTGCACTGTGTTATTGGTATATGGATTTTCTAATATGTTTAAAGTACAATAAAGTCAATCTGATATACATAAAACATGCGTCAAATATATGTTATTACATTTTGTACCCTCCCCTTTTCCGAAACAAATGCTCTTAAGTCTAAATCTCAAAAAAAAAGAAGTCTCGACCCGCGCGTGGCGAGGGGTTTGTTTTATGCTCCATGGAATTGAAGTGGATTCGTCTCCGTGCTCACCATCCATCATGGAGTCCAGCAAGGGGACACACCTCTGGGGTGCCAGGGTTGGCTCGGAGATATAGTGGGGGGATGTCACAGCGCGGCCCCGCCGTGGATCCCCCCGCTCACCCTGGAGTTCAGTCCAAGACCTAGTTCGAGTCGATTGATCGGGAGTGGGTTAGCTAGGAGAGTCCGTCTAGAAGAGTCAAGAGGCCAAAGAAAGCGTATTGGGGCCTACAAGATGCGGAGGCCTCCCCTCTGTCGCCAGGACTCTCAGGAGTTCGCACAGCGAACTTGGCTAGAACGGATCCGCCCACAAGAAACCAGCGTCAAGGCGACAGTCAGGAACGCATCCACACATCCCTAAACTCCCAGGTCAACCATCCCCTATGACATGGGTCGCAATGCACGGAAAACACATGGGTGGACGTTCAGCATACAGAGAGGGCCAGTGAGGAAAAAAAAAGAATGAAAAGTGTTGTGGCGGTTAAGCCGTAGTTGCGCCCACCGCCACTCTTACCCTCGGCGGCGCCACGTCACCGGGGTCACGGCGTGCCCAAGCAGCGCCGGAGCGACGTGAGCTTCTGCGGTGGAGGGGTGGGTTCGGCACTCCCCCCTCGTCCGCCCTACGCTTGGCAGCGTGGAACGAGTAAAAACAACCTCCGTGAAGTTGGCCGGCAAAAATCTGGGATTTTAACCAAACTCGGTACATCGTTTGCCCACCAAAATTTTTCGTTTGCTCCCCTCCCAAAAAAAGTTACGACGCGCAACAAATTTTAGGACCAAACTTTACGCTGGCCGAAAAAATCTGAGGTATCAACCAAACTCGGTACATCGTTTGCCCACTCACGCAAAAAAAAGTCAGGCGCAAAAGAAATTTCAGGACAATCCAGGCTAGCCGGAAAAAATCACGTCTTTACACGGGACTATGTATAACGTTTGCCCATTATTTGCCCACCAAAAATTTTCGTTTGTACACCCACACAAAAACGTACGTGAAACAAATTTTCGGGACCACCCAATTCTGACCAAAAAAATGCAGGTATTTTGACGAAACTAATTATACTCATCTCTTGTCTCATCTCTTTTACTCATCTTTTGTCGAGGTTTGCCCATCAAAAATTTTCGTTGACGTCCTCCAAAAGAAAAGTTAGACGCGAAAATAAATTTCGGGCTAACTCCACGCTAACTGGAAAAAATCTGAAATTTAACCAAACTTCATACATTGTTTGCCCATCAAAAATTGTTGTATGTCTGCCCACACACAAAAAATGGTATATGCAATAAAAATTCCAAGACACCACGCTGGCCGAAAAATTTAGGTTTTTTACTAAACTTGGTGTATGATAAGCCACACGTCCAGGCATGCCCACCAAGAATTTTAGTTTGCCACCCACAAACATGTGAAGGAAATCAATTTTGGCTAAACCAATCCAAACATTCTCTAAGGAATTACGCACATAATTTGTTTCTTAATGTCTCATAATTAATAATATAAAAAATAGTAATACATTTGTAACGTAATTTGTCTTATATACTCACATTAGATATACTACAATTTTTTTTACCATATTACTCAGATTAGATAAACCAAAATGTATTCATAGGGGGCTCCAGCCAACGCAATCGCTCATATGATCGGCTAGGCTAACTCCTACGCTGATTTAAAAATTATGATATTGAGCAAACTATTACTTAAAGTGTGTTCTCGTTTGCACAAGAAAGATTTTCATTTGTCCAGCCACAAACACGGAATTAAAAGCGGAAGGGAACTCCGGCCAGCGCATTTTCTAATATCATCGGTCGGGCTAAGTCTTATGCTGCAAGAATTGGGCAAACACGAACATAAGAAATAGTATGAACAATATCATAATTCTTTCAGGGTAATTCTTAGTTCGACCGATTATACTCGCAAATGCGCTGGCCGGAGCCCCGGAAGGATACACGCTTCCGTTTGTAATTCCATTTCTGTGTCTGGGCAAACGAAAATCTTTCTTGGGTAAATGACAACATACTTTTAAGAAATAATATGCCCAATATCAATGGTGTTCCTTCCATGTAGAAATTTTTGCCCTACCGATCATAAGAGAGAATGCGCTGGCCGATGTCCCCTCTGAATACACGCTCCCAATGGTAATTCCATTTCTGTGCCTGGGCACACAAAAATCTTTCATGGGCGATCAAGAACACAGTTTTTAAAAAACGTGTGTTCAGTATCTCAATTGTTCCTTCAGCGTAGGAGTTATCCCGACCGATCGTAAGAGAGAATGCGCTGGCCGGAGCCCCCATTGAAAACATACTTCATTAGAGCAACCTTAGAAAACGCAACACGAATTACACAAAGCAAACTCGTTGGGATTTTACAGGAATTTGTTAAATTATACAATACTTTTAAAGGAAATTTGCGATTAAACAAAAAGCCGAAATGTGCATTTGCATATAAAAATATGACTTGTCATAGAAATTCATCCTGTCTCTATTTTAATGAAATATGCAAAATATGCGTCTATAATTGTATGAATATGCACCATCCAAAAAAAAAATTAGCCAAATATGCACAATCATTTTAATGCACATTGCATACAATTCTAATCAAATGTCAAGAAATATCACTTAGCTGAGCCCTGAAGCAACTGATAAAAATGTGACTTGTCATCGAAATCTGCCTCCTAGTAATAATTATAACTTTGAAACTATTTTTGATTCAGTGATCATATGCAGCCAATAATTTATAATTGTAATTTGTTGAGTTGTCATGGAATGACCAGACATCACATATTTGGAGTAAATAATAAACATTTTTAACAAATAAATAAAATTAGATCATGAAACTTTGAATATGCATGTTTTATTCTTCAGACAAAACACATTGGATACAATACGAAAAGGTTATGCTTCACATAATGGCCAGAAAAAGTGTCTGTACTAAGACTTCAGTACTCTATTTCATGAAAGTATATCTCATCCTCCATTTCACATTTGAAAAAGTCATTTAAGTTTGACAGAACAAAACTGTTAAATACAAAACCACTTTCAAGTAGAAAATACTATTTAATATTTGTCATGCACAGAACTAAGAGAACTATTGCATCTGCTCCAGAAAAAAATATCTTCACTGACTCACAATCCTTTCCACACACCTATAAAATTACCACCCATTCAATTTTTCAACTTTCCACCTCATACATGTATCTATGAATGAAGTAATCAGAATCATTTTGCACTTGAGCCATCAAGAGATACATACTTGTACTTCACGACTTTTCAGCTCATAATATTCTACATACAAAATGATCTAGCAGAAAAATTCAATGACATTTTTGGCCTACCCTCATTTCATTTAATGAACATGATATTATTGTCCACAGTATCTCAATGTTTTACAATTACATATACATAAAATAATAAAGAGATACAAAAGTCAAGCTTACCTAATCTGATATGAATTTTTTAAAGACAGTCCAATTTAACTATTAGGAATTCACAAAACTATCAAGTAAATCTTCAACAGTGTAATGTAATTAAGGTCATCAGTATGCCATTAATAATACTTTGCCATATATTTATAATATAATGAATAATGAATCATATATGTAATGACTATATTTGAAATTAAAAAAGAAAAAATTGAAAATTACTTCAATATTCTGACACACAGAATAGACAGCAGAGCACATTCATATTATTAAAACTAGCAATTGAAGTCAGCATTCAACAGTATAATGGAAAACACTTAAAATATGAGTAACCATATAATTGCTTTAAAAAACATACAAAACTGTCTTGGGGGCTCAAGTCAAGTTCAAGCTTTACTTTAACACACCCATCATACTTATGTTAAATCTTTTAATCAACATTTACATGAATACATTTAAAAAAATATTTAAAATATTGATCAGACTCACTAATACTAACGAAAGTAAAGGATTGACTAGTGGGGCATAATTCCAGTTTCCTAGCATTACGAGCATTTTTTTTTATTCATTGATCACAACAATCAATTTCAGTCCACCATTCTCAATGCTCTTCTGAAGTCCAAGTACGAGTTTTCAGTAGACAAAAATAATGTCAATTTATCTCCTGCATATCATACAAGTTTGATTTTTCATCAAACTCCCGTTTCAATCAAATTAAATCATATCAATAGCATAAGTACAATGTACTGAAAATATCTATCATCATTCCTATCAAAAATAGGAACAACAACATTAATTAGTAAATGAAAACACTTATAGTAAATCAAAACAAAAAGGAACATTCAAATTATTTTCAGAAACCGACTTCATTTGCTAGTTCTATAAACTCATATTGGCACCACAATCAGCATAATAATGACATTATGGTAATACAACATGCATGCAGTGATATAACACTCAGGCTTTACAATAGAGTGTCATTATGAGACCCGTTGTAATGGAGCATCCATTTGTAACAATGAAAATATTCTTACAAACACATTAAGATATGTAATCCATTGTAATTTATGCAAAGTGAATTGCAATACACAATAATTAACTCAGTACACAACACCAAATGTGTAACATCATGGATCAAAACTTCAGATTTAAGTTTTCCATAACAAAACTTCATTCTCAACTCTCACCAGAATATATACTATTTATATTACTAGAATACATCTTGATTTTCAGAGACAACATTTGAAAAAACATACATGAATATATTTATATTTTACATACAATTCTTTAAATATTTTCTCAACAACAACAATAATTATATATCAATCAACTACTGTACAGATCAAAAATTATAATAAGCTCGGTCAATGATATTCTGTAATACATGACAACTGTTGAAATAAAATGAAAACAGAAAAAAAAAAGAACTTGAATTAATAATATCAACAAAAATTTACTTTCAGTCCTCATTTATCACATTATCCTGCATACATCCAGCTATTACCATCATAATGTACTTTTAACGGGCCCCACAGTGTAAAACATACAGTTATACAAATATACAGTTTTAATATAAATCTGAATGAAGAAAACCAAATTGTGGTTATTTGTATTGCACATGCAGAAAACCTCTCTCAATCATTTCCCAAAGTAAACATTCTAGTAGCAGTATCTGCTCAAAATCTGGAATGTGCATTATATTATTATATAAATCCAGAGACCTACTCACTTATAAAGATCTTTTGATTGTTTTGCAGTAAAATCTCTTACATTTAAACAGCATGGAACACAATTTAAACCATTTATATCCCAATTTCATTTATACACATAACCTAATCTCAAAATCTAGCCCAAATTCACACTTTCAAGTAACATTTTATTGTAAGGTCAGTTATTCACTGTAAACTTGAATATATATTCTAAGGTGCCTCTCAGTAATTCACAATTAGCATGTTACATTAGAGGTAACAATTGACATAAACTTACAAATAATAAATGGATATCACATGGAAGTATCAAAAAAGTTGATAAAAAAGTATCAAGATATTCAGTAGGTTTGAAAGATAAGGTGAATGTGCCGCTTACATAGTGCAAGTCTTTCCTCCACACCACTAAAATGTAAATGAACTTACAGAAACAAATACAATGCAGCAAATAAAAACTCACCAAGAACTTGTGTCTCGATATCAAGGAACCATTAGGAACAAACATGAAGTTGTACTTACTGTAAATCAACATAACATAGCCACCATATACAACAAAAGGGATTTAATTTCCACAAGATCTCTAAGAATTATTTTCAAGCATGCCAAACTCTGATATATTTACAAGAGGAAAATGGTTCAAGAATTGAAACAACAATAGGCTATATGCAGTGACATACAGTACGTACTTCACAAGTACAAAAACATTATTACAGTAATCTTCAACACTGGATGCAGTCAACAGCTACTCTACAAATTTTACATGAATGAAAATGGAGAACTCCAAGTTACTATATTTATAATTTTTTTAAATGCAGTGAGACAATTCCCGTGAAGCAAAATTTCCTACCCACGTACTACACTAATAAAAATATTTTTATCAAAAGTTTTTACAAAAATAACTAATTGTTTGTGACCCTTATCATAACACACAACATCTGCGAATCACCAACATGAAATATGAAATAGTAATTGCATCATACAGAATCATTTGGTAGCAAAAATGTGTAAAGCAATCCTCCATTCATAGATATAGTTTTATACATAAACACTTCTTTGGTGTTACGTGTAGGGCCACTTTCAAAACTCATTATTCTGAACTTATAAGGAGCTCTGCTCCTGCAGTACAAACCATTTATCGGTGGTTTTAACACCATACATTGCTTGCTGCCTCCTTCCCCTTCCTCTATTGGACAAATGAAGAGATTTCAGTCGGAGGAATGCAGAGCAAATCCTCCCGCCATCACTCGTCCCGCAAACTTGCTAAGCAGTTCTTGAACAGTTGCACTTGTGCCTGAGAAAATACAAAGCTCATACCAATCATTTGAGCAATCACAGAACAACTAGACAAAACTAGTGGTCTTTGTTTCACAATTCTTTCACAGCTACCTTCCTTTTAACAAATATTTTGTGTCAAGATTTTATAGAAATCAACAACGAATTCTGTTATAAGGTGAGATTTCAATCATAAAGAAAAGATGTGTGAAATGCCTTCATCATTTAAGTAAAGTGAGAAACACAAGATTTTGATACAAAACACTTTAGGTTTTGTCCAGGACTAACAAATTATTATGAAATTCTAATTAACTGAGCTGAAAAATATAGGTTTTGTTACATTTTACTTAAATTACATTTTTTGGTAGTATTTTGATAGATTATTTAGTTCTGAAACATTTTCTAGAGAACTATTCTCTAATTTATTTAGAGAGATTTCTAATCAGCTAGATTGCAGTTATCCAATCAGGAGCTTGAATACGAACAATGACGTCATAACGAACCTCTCGATTTGTTAATCGCGTCCCACCGTGTCCAAAGCCAATTTAATTAAATCGTATACGTCTTGTATACTTCTCATTTTCTCTGACTCATAATATTATCTTTTGTAACACACCACTCTATCATCTACATTTTTTACATTATCACACACAACCTTCCTTTTAATGACAAACTACTGACATTAATTTAAATATGTTCAAGAATGACCGTTTTGAACTATTTGTTCAGTTAATGGCTGAAGCAAAACCAATATTCAATAATATGTATATGGAAGAAATGTAAGAAAGTAAAGAATTTCATATTAAGTCTACAAATATCACCCTTATAAAGAATTCTAGTTTTCAAAGTTAGTCAGACACACAGACTGTAATGGTAGGTACCAAAATTCTATTAGTGATATTCTCTAATGTTGATATTCCCCTACATTGTTTACATTTCATTTTATGTACCAAGTCATGTTTCTTTTCAAATGCAACGGTATTATCATTTTAACAAATCGATTTACAAAGATAATCCATTATTTAGTATTCCCAACGGAACAACCGGAAGGCACCAGCCAGCAGCTCCCGATTTATACTACTGACACATATTCTGTGCTTACCACTCTGCTTCAGACAGGAAAACAATGGAAATTGAAGGTACAGTTCTAATAAATAAATAAATAAAATCTGAACAGATACTTTCTCCAAAATCTTTGCCTTCAGAAAATCCATGTGTCAATCCACAAACCTCCCAACACCCAAAAAAACTTAATTGTATCTACAAATACTACAAAAAGAAATGTCAACTTGATTTCGGTAACATTATAAATATAAATATGATAAATATTTGTAATTAATGACAATATAGAAAATTCTGCTATTGAAAGGCTCGCATTAAATATAGAAAAATATTGATTTAACGGTAGTATGCAGGAGCAATCAGTCAAGGTATGAATTAAAATTAAAATATTAAATAGAAATATAGTTGAGTAACGCCATGAAGTAGAAAATAAAAACTGAAGTCACTGGGTAATTGTGGGCATTCGAATGCAGAAATAAAATCAGGAATTTAAATCATAAAGTATGAAATGTGATATTAATTGAATTTAAGCAAGATGTGTAAAATAGTAAATAAATTACGTCATGCTGACGTGAATGAGCCACGAGTGGGGGACATATACACTACAGCTAGTGACCAAGATCGTTCCCTTCACACCCATCCCTCGACATCCTCTCTGCCCCTGTAGCTGGTTAGGTTGCTGATAGCCTTCTGTTGAAAACTTTTCCTTTCTTTTCTGTGGCCCACGTTATCTGGATAAGTTAAAAACAGCAAAATTAGCAAAAACGTCATCCCGTGCAGGTCAATGTGATTAGTCAGAAAACTCTCGTTTTATTTGAACATAAACGGCATCAAGATACTGTAATTAGCACGTCAATTAATGCATACAGAATGCGAAGTCAAAGAATACATGTTAGCTGGGTGATTAGTAAATAACCAAGCTTGGGGTGGGCAGACAAAAGTGGTGACATGCTGGGAACGGAAGCAAAGCCCCTTGTAATACATAGAGAATATGTGTGTAGGAAACAGTAAGGTAAAATTTTGGTGTTCAGTCTCTTTTTTGCCAGCGGAAATCAAGGTCACATTGTCTGATCGGTTCGATCACCATCAGTAAGGATCGGGATTATTATTTTCAATCAGAGGAAGTGAGTAACACAGAATTGGGTGTGATATATTCCACAATTTAAAATGTCATCAATCTAAATTGTCAAAATAATTTTTAAAAACTAGTGAATTTTGAAATAGATATTGTACTCTGAATGAACATTCTGATAAGAAAAAAATCATATACATGTCTAGTATTAAACGTTTTGAACATAGGCAGTCACGAATAGGTGGTACAGCATAGGGAAAGTGGTAAACGTGTGGTAATTTGTAATTTTTTATCGAACCAATAACGGACAGATAACAATATTAACAGCAAATAGACTGCATCAAGGGAAAGATCGGATACATGTTCCAAGCGGAGGACAACTGAGAAATCACAGATCATGTTAGCCACGAGCTTTGATTTTTGACACATAGAGGATAATTATTGTATACGAGAAAAATAATATCAATTCAACTAATAAGCTCATTTGAAACGTGTAAATAAAAATTTATTAATACATGTTATTTTATTGGGAAGAGACTGATAATTTATAGTTCTTTGCCATCAATTCAAAACAATCCATTTAATTAACAGAACTTCCAGAGATTGTAATTCTGTGTAGGTAACATATAATAGATAAGAAGATACCATGTTTGTGTCTATACTCATAAATAAATGGGAATATAATCAATATAATAAATATTTCAGTCTAGAGCAAATTTATGAGCATAGCAGAGCAAAACAACGATAGAAATATTTATAGATCAATATCGTATGAGTTCCAATAGGCTACCAAGCGGAAAGTGGTAATAGTTAAAGATTAGATGAATTAAATTTCAATAAAGATTTATATACAATGAATATCAAGAGGAGAGATCATTCATTGGTATTTCATAAATTAGGTATTGGTATTTTATATCATATTAGACAGAAAATCGGTAGAAATACCAATTGTTTACAATCTTTAGGTTGCATCCGAATTGTGGAAAGCAGATAAGATTTTTGTTATAGGCATATTTGTTTTGATGTGAAGTGAGATATGACGCTTCGGGCGTCAACCTTCTTGCTTATAGATAAGCTTTGCGGACCTGTATATGCCCCAGAAGATATTGTTGTATGTAAGCATAGATCTATATTTTGAACATACACCCTTACATGAACGAGAGCATTTTGTTTATAAATTCCTTTATACAGAAATTAGAAAGAGTTAATTGTGTATAGTATCATAAAGAGATAACCATTCCGATTTGAAATGGTACACAATGTTTTTGTAAATAGCTGTAAGAAACCATTTCTTAGCATTTGAATACAATTGCTTCAAGAAACAGACCTACAGATAACTTGCTATGAATATGCCAAAGAAACTTACAGACGTGTAAAACAAAATTGTAAAAATTAATTTTGGGCATTTCATGCTACAACGGCAATAGAAATAAATGTTCCCCATTTGTTTTCTAATTTGAGTATTTTCATATGTAAAGTAGAGTGGTTAAACACCTTGTCATCTATTGCTGAGGAACTTACTCTCCCATATGGGGCATGATTCACATGATCCACAAGAAATACATTTTTTTGGTTCACTGGATTGTTCTCTCACGTTACCCCTTCTATGGAATGAAGTTAAGGTGTTTCAATAAAAAGGAATAATACGTAATAAAATAAAGAAGAGAGAGATTAGGGGTTTCAAGACAATACAATATTGGGTACTTTCACATTACAAATTTTCCATTCCCAGTTCAAAAAAGGAATGAAACTATCAGTAAACTATCAAAGTAGTAACTCCTTTCAATTCCAATTCATTTACAAAAGTCTAATAATAAAGTAATGTTTACTACAAAATCAATCAAAAATGCACTACGATCTTTGAAAGAATTAAAATTAGCTCACCTTGGCATGTTTCAATTCCAGCTCTGCTAGATCTACTAAGTTCTTTCTGAACGCAGCTACACGCCTAGTCTTGAAATCCATAAGTTCTGTAATTGAAACACACAGAACAAAAACCTTAAGATGAATAATTCTCTCATTTCATTACAGGACGTATAATAATTGTATCAATTGATGTCTCGCATTTTCCAGAATTAAATTGCTAAATATTCTCTTTTAATGAATTGCTACTTCATTTTACTAAGTTTCTAGAAAGATTTGTAACATTTAATATTCTAATCAGGAACTGCCTGCTAGGCTAAAATAACAGAATAACAAATGAAGACTCCAATATTAATCAATGTACATTGTAGCAATATAACAATCCATCAAAATATGCATCAAAAAAGTTTTTTACTTCACATTTGTCAAGACTATTGCCTCATCTTCGTATTATTAAAGGCCATCTTAACTTAAAATCAAGGAAGAGTACAAGCAAGAAAAGAATTCTCAATTATTTGATGATTCACATACGTTCATTGCTTAAATAATTATATTTTTATGATTAAATAATTAAATTTTAATTGAATCTAAAAAGAATTCTGCAAAGCAGTATGAACATCTCTGTACTGGAACCCTAAGAGCAATGCAAATGGCCCACAATGCACTTCAAAAGATGGTAAAACTTGCAACAAGAAAACTCAGATGCTTTTAACATTTCTATTTCATTTTTACAAAACCTTACACTCTTCACAAAGAAAATCATGAAAATGCACTAAAGAATAAAATTCAATATTTTTTTATCATCATCATCATCATCATCATCATCATCATCATCATCCTCATCCTCATCCTCATCCTCATCGTTATTATTATTGAGGACGTGATAGATATGCTCAGACCTTACACGGCAACCAAATGTGCGACAGTTGTTGTATAGTCATAGTTGGGATTGAGACCAACAAATGTTTATTGCCTTCTGTATGTGGCTAAGAGGCCTTACTTAGTATTCCTTTTTAAGGTAGTAGTTATTAAAGTCTTTTTATTATATCACTCGGTATCACTAATTTACCATAATTCACCACTTTATTCTCTACAAGTATTGTTTTTACTGTTATTGTTATTAGATTCATTATTATTATTATTATTATTATTATTATTATTATTATTATTATTATTATTATTATTATTATTGTTGTTGTTGTTGTTGTTATTGTTATTGTTATTATTGTTATTATTATTATTATTATCATTATCATAATTATTATCATCCACAATATTATAAGAAATTTCAATTTTACAGACAAAAACCTGTAAACAGTTAAAGAAAAGGCATTCTGCAGATCTCCTTAGTAATTTTCAATACAAAATACTGGTACAACTAGGCAGAAAGACATTACTTGTAAATAACAGAAAATATTCCTACCTTCTTTCCCTTTGTCAGACATCTGCTCAAACTTCTCACAGGCCTGTTGTTGAGCAAGTTCAGCCTAAATTAACAACAATAATTTTAAAAAATTAAAAGCACACACACTTACAAAATGAACTAAGGTAATACAGAAGACAAAGATGTATTGGGAATACTGAATTATTTAGGTAGAAGATTAATTTGAAAACACATTTGAATTTGTTGAGAAAAGAGATTCATGGGGAAAGAAAGAGGTACTTCAATAACAACAACTTCCAAGTGTACTCCCATTTTTAAAATTCACTGTTTTTGAAGAATTCCACTGGTAACAATGAACCCCTTTCTCTTTCCAACAATTAACAATATTCTTCAAATTCTAAATATCTTTTTTTTTTTTTAATATCACTATCTCACTTTTCGAAGACTTAAGTGAAAAATATCTTCAGTTTCCTTCATACACTACTGGGTATACATTAACATCATACTCATTACATAACATTACACTAATTAACAATTCATCAACATTTATGTTGTTTTCTTCTAAGAAGAAAATTTAAAACAAATTATCTGTAACACTGGTGAACTCTACTTTGGCTCAAAATATTTTCTTTGCGATTTAAAAGTAGTTAGTTCTGCTTATTTCAAAAATGTTCAATCGCACACACAGTTGACTGCAAATGGACAATGCACAAAAGAAGTTGTTGTGATGTGTGGTAAAAAACAAAGCGTGTGTACAACTGTGCAAGAATTTGTTGTATTTGAAAAATCACTATGAGTAATTGCACAGTAAAATATGTCTAAGCCAGTATCGATTGGGACACAAAACAATTCCAGTTTAGTTTCAGTTTTATGCAAGGTTGTCCATTTTATGACACCTGTGATATTGATATTTCTGCCCTGAAAGTAAATCACATACGTTTATTACAATTGTCAAACTACATTAACTTATAATGTATTATGGACAAAATCACCAATAAATGAATATTTGTATTAAATTCTCTTCATTGAGAGCTTTTGAGCTGAAAAATACACAATATCTAATTGCCTAGTGGCTATATTCACTCTGCTTACTGACTCTTTCAACGTACAATACTTCATAACCCAGTACTAGGAATTTCTGATACCCTCACATGGCCTTTAGCAATGCATATCTGGTCAAGAGGTTACGAATTTCAACGCGGGATAGGGAGACACATGAAAAGAAACCGTAGACATTTCCACGCTCTCGGAAGTCGGGAGAGAGGGAATTCCCCTACGGCCAATGCCTTGAGATGCAAGCGATCCCAAGGTCAAAATTTTACGCTGACAGCTGAAGCTCCTCTCTTTCAATCTTCAGCTGCTACGACTAAATCATGAGTCACTGGGATAGAGAACAGACTTTCATATTCGAAAAGATTGCACATGGTCCTTGGCCGGCTTGTCAGGGTACTGCTCCAGCAGTGACCTGGTGTTGATCGGAGATACCACGGAAAACTACCGATCAGAGCAGTAGGCCTCTAGAATTCTTCTCCAGACAGCGACAATTCGATCTAGCTGACAAGCTACTGTCAAAAACCTTGCCCCTGTCATGACTTGAATCTAGGACACCCTGTCAGAGTCACTGCAGTTACATCAGTTGATGCACTGAGTCACTTTCTCCAGTCAATGATCATTATAATCGCACTGACTCACTTATATTACACAAAATTTAATATTTGCATATACTCACATCAGCTACTTCCAAGGCCTTAGTAAGCAAAAAGTAAGAAAACAGAAAGTTAGTATAAATTTTACAAGCATCAAACTTTTTATTTCATTGCTTTGTTGTTGCTCTTAAAAAAAGCAGATTGAAGTAGCAACTGACAACTGAATACAGGAATGAAAATACTCCATACTATCCTCTTTCTGTGATGAGCACAATTATTCAATTTAGACTTAAAAATTAAGAAATCTACTTTCAAATCATTTGTTATTTTAACATCAGAATTAAATACTGCTATTTTTTCCTGCACAAAACGCTGGTTAATTTTTTTCTTTCCATAAAAGGAAACAAAGAATTATGTAGTTTCATATACAAAGAAGTTTTATCCCTTTCACATTCTTTGATTTCATCATGAAATTTTACATTTATCTTTATTACTATCATTGTTTTTAAGCAAATTTTTAAATCTAGAATACAAAAATTCAACAAGAATTGGTAACATGCATGTTTTCCATTCATGTACGTGAATTCCCAACAAGCATGTTTTCCGCTAATCTCACAGCCGTTTCAATCAAACTCAAAACCTTGGTAAGAGGTCCATGGAAAATAAAAAAGATCAGCCAAATATAATACGCAAGTATGACCAGTGCAAATATTTTGCACTTCATAAATAGTTATTTTAAAAGTGAAAATAAATTAATATTGGAACTTAATTTTGAATGTTCAATCCATACTACAGTGAGGTACTCTCCAATAATGTAATGGACCATTCAAAAAGATTTCATTATGTAAATTACAGAATAAGAAACCTAACTTGTCCGTTCAGGAACTCAAAAACCAAGTTGTAAGAACCTAAGGCTTATTATTTCCAAGTTATGATTGGTGGACAAGTATGTTGCAGCTTAACACATATTGCAAATTACCTAAAGTAGGCATACATACATATTATCTATAGATTACAATTTTTCAAAAAGGTGTTTTAGTTTCAAAAAACAATTACTTTTCTAATTTCCATTTAAAGACTAGTATTTTCACTTCATATATATATATATACACACATACTTTCTAACATAATTTGTAAGGAACACACTATTATTACACTACTTTAACATACATTTGGGTAAATTTTTGGAAAATTAAAAGAGTAAATCAAAATAACACCATGTTATTTAATGCATTTAACTTCATCTATTTAAAATGATGAAAAAACCAATTTGGAGCCACTTTTGAGAAAAATCTTGTTTTTAAAATTGTTTTTATTTCATGCAAAATTGCTTGAAAACTACTTATAATTTGTGTATATACCAAATATAGACACATACAAACCTAATATTTAAGAACAATTTTCATTAAGAAGTAAGATTTGAAGAATTTAAGGAAAATTGGACCTTTGCCATTTTTATAACCATACTTTGCCTTATTAGAGAAAAAAAAAAACATTAATGAACAAATTAGAATCACATCTCAGAAAATTTTGAAAGTGTCATTGCAACTTCATGTAAAACATTCTCAAAGCAGATCAATACAGGAAAATCAATTTTGGTGAAAATCTGGACTACGGTTTACCTACTAGTGACATTTTGCCATGAACCAATTTTTACTTTCCAGTATACGTATGTATACATGGAGTAATGTACCTAACATACGAAAAATTAAGAACAGCTAGGGGAAAATCGATTTCGAGTTGTCAATGGACATATGTGTATAAAGATCCCCTGATATCGAAAAGTGTTGTTTTTTTCAAAACGTACGTCTGGTGTCAGCAAACGCTACTAGCACCTACACCATGTGTAAGATTTTTTTCCAAATTGAAGAAATCCTATCCATCTGGTTCGAGTCAAAACTTCAAGATTTAGAAATGCATTCTTCAAAATTTGGAGATACTTTACATGAAGCCCGCCACATATTTTCAAAATTTTCTCAAAAGGCTCCAATTTCTTCCTTTAAATTTCTTCTAAGAATAGGAGTAATCAACACTTACAAAAGTGGTATAGGTCTAATTTTCACGGCTTTTCTAGAATTTCAATATTTTTCAAGCATCTTCCTACAACTACAAAATTGAAGATAGAGATTTTTCCTTCAAATAAAATTTGTTGTGCATAGTGAGTTCTTTCACTAAGGTCATACACATTTTTTTTGAAAATTTTGGGTTTCGTACAATATTGCGTGCAATATGTGCAATTTAAAAAAATTACAAAAACAATATTTTCTCAAAAACTGCTCCAAATTTATTCTTTAAACTTTTGGTAGGAATAGTGCTAAATGTACTCTATAAGATGACCATAAGCTGTATTGCTCTATTCTTTTGTTTTTTCAAAAATTACAAAATGTAATTTTTTTAACTTGTTACACACATTGTTAATATTTATATTAGCGGCAATTTGTTCACATAATTGTATTTATGAGTACATGTGTTGTAAGTAATGTCATTAAGTTTCTCAAAAACTACCATTTTCTGTAAAAACTACCTCAAAACTTAGCTTTTCCTTCCTCCTTTGAGAAACGCTATTTCCTCAAAAACGGCTGCAAATTTTTTCTACGAACATTTTGAATAAATAGCGGTAATTCCCATTTATATCTATATTTTCAGTATTATCTACTCCATACTGGATGGGACATTGGACCACACAAGTAATAAGTTTAGAGAGCACAGGAGTTGGCCATCAATAAATAACTATTGTCCAGAATTTCAAACAGAATTCAGATTGGTTTGCACAAAGTCGGGCACACTGTGTTAATAATTTCCAAAGATTTTACAGTAGTTTCAAATAGGCTGCGCCTAGCGTTTTCAGACTCTCTTAAAGATCACATTAAATATTGATATTTTAAAATCATTACAGTATCAAGAACCCACAAAACTTTGATTCATTACACAACTTCACTACACATGTTAATTTACTACATAAAGGAACAAGAATTACACTCTTTTTCAGTATCGGGAATCTACTTTATGACTTTTTCTGCTGAAACATAGCTCTTTCTTGCCACAGCATTACAAAACGTTACATCTTTCTCTCTACTATGCAAGTACTATATGAGGAAGTAAAAAGTGTGAAGTAATAAACTGTTTATTTTCAACAATCATCACAGAACTTTCCCACCCATGATCCTCCATACACCTCATTCTCATTAGCACTTTGGAGAGTACTTCCTACAATCCCTACATGAAAAGATGTAGAAACTGCCACTTATGTTCTTAATTTCCAGTATTCACCAGCATGTGCAATTTATTCGTTGGAAATGAATTACATAATTAAAAGTTTTGTCATATGCTATTCCTAATATGTTTTTACAAAACATGATGACTGTTATAATTGAAATTACTAGAAGTACTCTGCTGTGAGTTTTCATCAGAAAGTTAAAACGTCTGGGAGCTCCAAAAAATGGACATGTTAAAAGAGTAATCACTGTGCAGAACTTTGAAGCAAAATATGCATCATAAATGAGGCATTCTTAAATTTCACAAATTATCACAAAGAATTAAAGGGACACTACAACAATCACATTTCGAAACACAATCCAAGATGTCAAAATTTGAAAAAGACATTGCATTAAGCTTCCTAACAATGCACAAAAATTAATGAGAAATGAGCATATTTGAGAAATTAACCAACATGGAAGAAAATATTAAAAAATACATACTGCATGAACATCCTTATTTTTAGCTCGAGCTTTTTCCAGATTTCGGTTGGCATTTTCATAATTGACCAAACAACGCAATCTTCTGTATAAAAGCCTCTTTGCAGCAAATGAGTCCCTCATGTAATATCTTAAGGTGTCTGAGAGCTTGAGATCCTCATCTGAGGCAACGCGACCTTCTATCTTCTACAAAACAAGACAAACATTAAATAGATTAATTCATGTGCATTATAATAGCTTAATAATAAATTCAGAAGTGTTCTACATCTCTAAAATGCAAATATTGTGGCCAAACTTACTCTAGCTTTCTCAAAAGTTTCGGCAACTTTTGTTAAAAATTTTTCCAAATCACTATTGTCTATAGTGGACAACTGAACAAGACCAGAGGAGATCTTAATATAACAATCTGCAACATCTAAATAAAAAGTGTTACATTAATACATGTTCTATACTTATTCCAAATTGGCACACATTCTTAAAACAGTCATCAAATAACCTTTATGGCGTTTAGTCATTCTATCAGCTTTTGCAGTAGCATCTTTTAAATGATTGTGGTAGTCAATGAGGAAGTTCTTCTCTTGTTCAAAAAAATCATTTACATCTTTCACAGTAGCAGACAACAGAAATTCATCAGTGGTTTTAGTAAGAGATTTCATTAAACCACCAATGACTTCCATTTTATTTTTACCACGCACACACAAATCTTGGTCGTATTCCAAGAAAACTCTAAAGTTGTGGTCATTACGAAAGACAGGATGATTCGCTAGTCTGCATAAGAATACTTCATGCATTGCTACAGTTTTCTTGAAAGTTGCCAGGTATTCCCTGGAACAAATAAGCAATGTCATTTGTTGTCCATCCGGAAAAAAAAACTGATATATATAAAATGTCTGTGTCTAAACTAAAAGTGAAAAAGCATTGACTTAGAATAATGAAGCAGAATGTGGCTTGAAGTGGAGAAAACCAGTATATACAATCCAAAAAAACGTACATTCATAGATTTATCCATTGTTCTTCATTAACAATTGAAGAATCATGCAAATAATCAACATTTAATCGATTAATTTTTAACAAATAATTTGGGAGAGTAATAATGCAAAAATTTCCATCTCTCGTCACTGGAAGGCTGTTCTTCACATAATACATTTGAAGTAGCACTTCACCCCAACAATTCCTGACATTTTCAATGATCCACAAAGCACCACAATAATCAAAAAATTATTCACAAATTCAATTTTGGAAATTTCTGTCTATATCATTCAATTTTCATTATATTACTCGCTTGCCAACAGACAATAACACTTTGCCAAAAATGCCATCCTTCCAAAAGGAAAAGAAACTGACACTGGCTTTAAATTTGGATAAAGTAAGGTAAAACATTCTCACCAAATTAAAATAAGAAAACCTTACTTACGCTTCCAACTCTTGTTTCATTTTATTGAATTCTTCCTTCGTCATTGTCCCCTCTCCTTCACCCAACTTTTGTAATTTCTCCCTAGACGCATCAAAGTCGGGTCTTGGCGGAGCAGGTGGAATCTTGCAAAATAAAAGACTCAATTTAACACTTCATTTTGGAAGTTATAAAGTAATTTCTGGGTGTAAAAATATTACTTACAATATAACCAGCATAATCTTCATTTTCTTCAAACCTGTCATGTAACCAAACAAATTCTTCATGCTGTCTCACTACTAAGAATTCAGGTTTTTGGAATTCTGGTAGAGTAGTCTACAAATTAAGAAATGTAACACCCAAAATAATACATTTATTTTATAAGTTTTATTCAAATAACATTTTGTTGTAAGCTTTACCTTGGTATGAACAGTAAATTTTACTTTATCCTTCTCACTAAGAGCATCTGATATATCCACCATAAGAGAATTATCAGTCAAATCAACAGTCTCCGATCGCCCTGGCTGAAAATTGAAAACATTATTCAATTATTAGCAGAGCTATTGAGGCTACGCATCTGTCAAGCTAATCAGCGAATTATCTCTACACGGAAATGTATAGCTGTCGATAAATTAGTTTTCCGGTACCTCTTCCGAAGTTCACTTACCTTTCGAACATCGTCGTTAAGAATATCAGCAGTATCATCTAGACCATCCTGAAAATATACATTGAAATAAGAACTGCATCAACACTGTTAACCTGCATTCTTCTAATTTCTACCAGAGTAAGACTTACCATCATGGTTTGGGAGAGGTATCGGAGAAGCGCGAAAACTACTTTCGAAAGAAATAATTTGAATCATACACGAATTGTCCGACACACTATCGAGAAAAATAACACTTATAAAAATAATTCCAAACACGGTATCCACTCCCCTTCGCCACCGTACCACTTCACTAGTATCTCTTCACATGACAGAACTCCGTCCAACCCAGTCAGCGGCACCCGTCAACGTAGACCTTGTCAAGTGGTAAATGTGCAGGTTTCTGCCATCTACTGGGGAAATATTGAATTATAACAAACTGGTAGATCGCGGGGTTCATTCCTGACTGCATGTGTATATCCATCGGCACTGAACATTACCAGACATTTCTTTTACATAAATACGAAATGCCTGATGTAAAATAACTTACAAAGATGTATATATACTGTTGCTTCAACGCAACAACAGTGGTTGAAGGAATTTCAAAAATTGCTTGCCATAGTTGGCATTTGAACTTACGATATTTTTGTGTTCATTTACTTTGTTTTGTAACATTGATGAATTAACAATTGATATTTTGTAACACTGATAGGTTAACTATTCTGCCATTTTTGAAGTGTTCCTTTCATTTACAGTTTTTCTTATTATTCGTAGTCAGAAAATCTCCGTACAATGCAAGTGATTCTATTGGCACACTTGACAATTTACTATTTCATCGCCCGCGAATTTCAAAGATGGTAGCCTGAAAAGTTGAATATTGCCATTCGAAATGATCTCTTGGATCCAAGGGGGATGCGGGAAAACCTCATCTCAAAACCAGTACTTTAAAAGTTTTATTTTATTTATTCAAAATACCATATAGAAATGACATCACAACATGTTTCCCATTAGGAATATACCCATTCATTTTTTTATTTCAAGGTAACAATTGAAAGAAAAAAAATTCAAAAATATTTATAGAATGTCCAATAGCCTTCCCTTGAAATACTTTCTGGATATGCTCCTGTACAGTTCTGTGTGTTATATTATGCTATAGCCACATGGTAGAGTACTATTTTATGCCATATCAGGTTCAGTGATATGTAGTACTATTTACGACAGTACTATAATCCCACATTCAAAAATAAATGGTAGTACTATCTTGACTCCAGTGGCATAATTTTTGGGCCATAAGGTTTGCAATTCGGGTGGGACCAGGTAAATGAGGATATTTTTATTATTTAAAGTATTAGTACTACTGTATTTGCTGTACCCTTAAGTTTTGTGGGCATGCCCACACTCATTTCATTACGCTAATACTCAACTCATAAATAAAATTAAGTTATTTACCTATAAGAAATACTTTTCAAGAGGAACATTGAAAATGTTTCATATCTAGCTCATAAAAAAAAAGGATAACACAAGACCTTTGAAATCACAGATAACTTAGGTAAAAATATCAAAGAAGTTCAAAAAATTTTTGGTTTTTTCTCTTATTTACTTTTAACTAACAATTAATGAAAGCAAAAAAGAGAGTTTATCTTTTCTCTGAGATGAAAGCTGTGATTGGTTTACAAAAGAAAAATTAAAACCATTATATTATTTTAATTAAAATGAAATGCCTTTGTTAACTTTTAATTTTGTATGTTTCTGATTTTATTCTATTACTAGGAGAGGTAAGAGCGCTGGAAAAAATTGAGTAACATATTCATTTTGTTTGTTTGTTCATTTCTTCGTTCTTTCATTTATTTATTCAAAAATACCAAAAAAGCTGTATACGTTGAATGAGGAAAAGTATAATCTATATGTGTTTTCTTTTTCAGAATGAAAATAACTTTTCAGCTAGAATTATGAAAAATATTAAACTCTATTATGTAAGAATATAGAGTATAATTATATTGTAGAGATCAGTTGTATAAATACATTTGTTTTTTAGTTGAAGTAATTAACAAGAAGTATTCAGAAGATAATTTATCACATTAACGTCGTAACATTTTCTTATTCTATTGATTTTTCCTTTTTTAAGAGAACATTTACAGGACTGTGGTGGAATTAAAATTTTAGGTCCCAAACCAAAACACACTATACTGTTTCCTCTCCACATTAAATGATTTTTTAATTATAAGGGAACAGTTACTGCACCAAGGTACTGATACGGTACACATTTCTGTGGTAGATATGCAATAGCTTAAGATTGGCCACAAGACCATTGGCTGTCATCTCCATGATGTGTATTAATTTTCTATGCTTTGATCTCAGTAAATAATAAAAAATCATTTATAATAAAGAATTTAGAGGGAATTTTGAGGGGTTCAGCAACTCTTATTCTGGGACTGCCCTTTTTATGGAATACAGATAATTAATATTCTAATTGACCAAAAACATTCCTTTGATTTTGACAGAAAAAACAGTTTTGTGGGATCTTCATACTCATTTTATTGTTTAAAAAATCTCTGCCTGTCCATTATGCACATCATTATCTTCAGTTTACTTTTCTCCCTTCAACTTAAGTTTACCAAACTGCCTCAAATTAAAGGTTCTATAAATTTGAGTTAATTCCCTTTGTTGGAGAGAGAGGGGTGTAACTTCTCTCATTTCCTCTTCCCCTCTCTCTCTCCATTTTAATGAAGGATGATTGAGAAAATTCTAAAATAAGACAATAATATCACATTTAACATTACATCAGATATTTGTCCAATGTTTATCAATTGTTATTGGTACACCGGATTATATTATGAAAATGTCACTGTTCCTTTTGTCTTCTGGCACTGTCATGCAATGTGTTTAATGACTTGATTTATTTTCATCAAAGCTCAGTAAAACTGTACGTCACAAATAATTCATTTAATAAGCCAAGGGTCTGGTTTATTATCCAGTTCTAGCTTGTAATTGGATGAAAATGATCGCAAACCTAGTAGGATCATTTGTAATTCACACAATTTGTACTCTCTTGTTTTATGCTCTCATTCAATTTTTGTATTAGTACAGGATGTTTCATGCTGTTAAAGTGATAGAAATTTGATGGCCGTATCAGAAATGAAATCTATTCATAGTGTTGTGAGTTCACCTCAAGATATAGTAAACACATTTTCAAGAGATATATGGATAATAAGTTTTTAGTGAAAGTGTAAATAAGATTTGGATGCTGTTCAACAATAAAGAAAGCAGTTTCATTGAAATAAATCATGTTTATGTTCTTACTTATGACTTAAAGTCTTTAGACCTTAATTTCATCCATGTTATTGTGGGATCATTTTTTTCTAATTTACTTCTTGTTATTAATTAAAAAAGTAAAGAGTATTTGTTGTCTGTGTTGGTTAACAGTTCAGTTTTAATAAATATACATTTTATAGGTATACTTAACATTAATGTGGAACATTATAATACTGTAAAGTATTATTATTTCAGCATGTAATTTATCTTACTTAAAAGCTATATTACTGCTGTTAAATTAATAGATTTTCCAGACAAAATTTAGTGCTTATGATGTTTCAGATATTTTGAACCAGTACACAAAAAACTTTGGAAATTATTGGGTAATATTATCTTAATTTTTAATCTTTATTTTAGTGCATCATTAGTTTATTATAAAAATTACAATTTGATACTATGATTTAGTATATGAATATGCGAATAAATTTCATTTAAATAAAAGATTAATTTGGACATGTCAGAATACATTTAATCAATAATTATAAATTAAAATATACAAGTTTATAACTTTCTGGATAATCAGCAAGATAAAATTAAATATCATCAATTTCTATAGTTGTTTGAACAGTCAGTGGCTCTGACTGCCATTTCTTTCTTGGTTCATATGTCAGTGTCAGGTCAGATGTTAGTGTCACATTTAATGCCAGAAAGATTATCATATTTACTTACATAATTTTTACTCATGCCTAATTTGGGCACCTAATAGTTTTGAAACACTTATATCCTTTTAATTCTTGTGTAATTTTTACAGCATTAAATTCTTGATGAAAAGTATGTTTCTGGAAATTCAGCAATCAGAAAACATAAACATTGTGATTCTCCACTCAGTCCCATTAAACTAGTTCCCAATAAGAAATCTATTACCTTCCATTAACAGTTCAGATTATTTGAAATTTAATTATATGTAGTATAATTGGTACTTACACAAATACAGTAATGTATTGTTGCATTTCAAATTTTGCTATGCCAAGATTGTACTTTTCATCTCCTTTTCTTTCTACTCTCTCATCATTGAAAATTTACAATCTTTTTAGGCTGTACAGAAGGTGTTGAAAGAAAAATATTTTTATACACAATTTTATTGGCACTTTCTGTGTGCCTATTTTACTGGTATGCAGAAAGTGCTAATTTTATTTGCACATGTCAATTTAATTGCACATGCCATAAATTGTTGTGCAAAATGGGGATTTCCTCTAAGGAATTCAGATATCAAAGATAGTGTTCCAGTTTATTTGAATAGAGAAGGCTGGGTTGAAAAATGATTTCATGACAATTATGCAGGTCCTGAATGGGTGAGAGGATTTCTGATGAGAAACAAAAAACTCAATATCAGAATTGGAGAAAACATAAAAAGAGCAAGAACAGCAATTACCTGTCCTATTATAAAGGATTATTTTAAGAACTTTGAAGTACCCTTGAATGGTACTTCTCCCACTAATATAATAAACTGTCATGAAAGAAACTTTAGTGATGACCCTGGTTAAGTAAAAACCATTGTGAAGGGAGGAGTAAGACATCCATGAGCAGATGTTAGATCCGTATCAGTATAATGTTTGCAGTTGCAGCTAATGGCACAGTGCTTCCACCTAACACTATTCATAGGGAAAACATTGGGATACTTGGAGTGAAGGTGGCATCACTGGTGCAGGTTACAAGAGAAACCACAGTAGCTGGTTTGATGTTGAAATGTTTGAATCTTGGTTCATTCAAATTTTACTACTATACTCAAGAAAATTACAAGATCCTAAATTGATTATTGGTAATAATCTTTCCAATCATCTGACACTTAATGTGATTAAGATGAGCAACCAATACATCAGAATTGTATTGCTGCCAGCTAACTCAACTCATATACGCCAGCCTCTTGATATCAGTTTCTTTAGACCTCTTAACGGGCCTGGAGAAATGTGTTAGATGGTTGGATGATGAACAATAATGGCATGGTTCCTAAATCTGTATTTCTAAAACTGTTGAAGGAAAGTCTTGAAAAGATAGGGATGTAAGTACAAGAAAACAGATATTATATCTGGTTTCAGAAAAGCGGGAACAGTTTCATTCTGTCCAGAACATCATTTCACAGATTTCAGAAGAAACATGTAGAACTGATGAAACTCATTTATCTTGGACAACTGAATTTGAAATATATTAAAGTAAGAAAATCTCATGAAGGAACAACCAACCAAACTATAAGTTGATTAAAACACCTACCAC